AAGGTGAAACCCAAAAGGAGGGAGATAGACAAATAAACTCACAACACTAACGCCATTGGTGCCGGCTCCAAGCCATATCTGCAAGTGTGTCCAACCAAACGCGTTCATCGTCCTTAGGACTCCAGCCAGGCAGTCGGGATACATCAACCGATGCCAGTTTCGAAGTGAGGGTTTTCATTCCTCTCGCTTGACCTCCCCTCCTTCTATTCCAACCGCACCCCCGGCGCGCAAACAATGCACGTCGCGGGAATCGGTGTGCTGGCACGCGCAACACCTGGCGCAGCCATCGGAGCCTACTGCGTGATATAACGGTGCTGAGCGGTTCACACACACTTCCTGTACCAAATACGCGGCGCCGAACACGATCATTGCTCACGCAGTGCTCCCACCAGACATGAGCTATGCTGCGAAGGTAGCGATGATCAAATGCGACGAGCCACTTTATGTCTATCGACCTGATGGGCCAGGTTTCACAACCATATAGGAGAGTTGAACGGACGGCTGCGTTATAAACTCTGCCCTTCAGAGCGAGAGTAATGTCGCCTCTGCGCCACATGTGGCGGAGATTGGCAAAAGCACCTCGAGCTTTTGCTATACGGTTCTTAAGCTCATCTCTGATCCCACGGGTGCAACTATAGCTGTCCAGGTACTTGAATTCCTGAACGACTTCTAGCAGATCACCACCAAGCGTTAGCGCAGGATTGGGTCCCTGCCAATCTTGGAGAAGTACTTTGCATTTCGATGGAGCAAAGCATAGCCCAAAACGATTGACAGCTAGTGCTAATGGGTCCGGTGCTGTTTGGCATGTTTGGGAGCTGTCACAGATTAGGGCAATATCGTCCGCATACTCCAAGTCAAGAAGTCGCTCACCAGGAAGTAGCTCAACACCTTTTAGGTCGTGTCCAGCGAATGCTGATTCCATGACTTCGTCAACTGCGAAATTAAATAGGAAAGGTGACAGCGGGCAACCTTGTCTCACACCGCTGGTGATACTGAAGGTTGGCGGCAGTTTGCCATAAACCCTTACTCTGTCCGAACTACGTGCGTACAGCGCTTTGATAATGTTTACACATTTATCACGCACACCTTTCCTCAGCAGACAGTCCCAAAGGGCACATCGATCGACTGAGTCGAAAGTACCTTTGATGTCAAGAAACACGACAACGGTGGGTAGCCAATAAACATGGCGGTGCTCCAACATTTCACGCAAGGTGAAGATGTGGTCGATGCAGTCCCGACCTCGATGAAATCCAGCTTGCTCTTCACGAATCTGGCTTTCACGAGTGCCAGTCAGTCTGTGGAGAACGACAGATGCAAGCAATTTAGTGGCAATTGAGATCAGACTGATCCCTCTATGATAGCCGCATTCCGAACGGCAGCCTCCCTTGAAAATCGGGACAATGACGGAGCGGCTCCAGTATGTCGGGACAGTCTCCTGCGTCTAAAGTTTCACTAGTAACTCGTGTAAACCAGCTACTAGAACAGATCCCAAGAATTTGAAGAGAGCTGAGGGAATGCTATCTGCCCCTGCGGCCTTATGTAATTGCAACAGTCTGATCTCACATTCGACCTCTGCGAGTGAGGGTGGATTCAAGGAAACGGCCCAGGAATAAGAGCGCTCAATGCCCGAAAAAGAAACCGATAACTCAGGTTGGTTAAATTGCCTTGTAAAGTGTTCGGCCCAACGCTCCAAGCGTTTTGAGAAGCCGCGGATCGGCTGTCCACTCTCATCGCGTATGGTCCCGCTAACACCAGGTCTGCTGCTGCTTTTTTCCAGTGTCAGACGGAATAACTTAAGATGATTACCAACGGCAGCGGCTGTTTCATTTCCGATGCACGATGAGACCACCAGGCTTCGCGGTCTTTCGTCAGGCAAGCACACAGTTTTGCCCTGAGACTTCTGCGAGCCTTATTGTATTCGTTTCCAGCCAGAATACGTCGGCGAGTATCCACAAGTTCCAGAGAGTGTGTAGAGGCCCAATATCCAGTTTCGCAAATTGATTTGCCACATGAAGACATGCCTGCTGATAGTAACGTTTGGCGAATATGCGACCAGTGATATTCGAAGGGGTTTAGTGGGCGCTTATTCAACCCGGATGTCAGCGCACTTTGATACACATTCAGAACATCTGGCTTCGCCAGCTGGCTGGTGTCAATCCGTTCACATCGAGGTTGCGGCCGTCCACCGAAACGCATCCGGAGGTCGGCGCAGACAAGTGCGTGATCACAGTTTACGCTAGTGCTCCAAATCGAGCGACAGTATTGGACACAGCCTCTCCATCGGTAACTTATCGCGATATGATCGAGTTGCGTCCATGGCTGGTGCGAAGCTGGTTGGCTCCAAGTCAGGCTCTTGCGGGTGCTGTGTGGAAAGTTTATGCTAGTGAGAAAGAGACGAGCATCTTCACACAGCTGTAGCAATCGGTCACCGTTGTCATTACGGGAGCCTACACCATGTTGGCCGCCCAGATGAAGCTCATCAGAGGACAATTGTCCGACTTGGGCGTCTAGATCGCCAGCTAACAACACATTATCCGTACTTCTTCTGTAACGAAGGAGATTTTGAAGTTGCTGATAGAAATCATCTTCACCGAGTCAGTGCTACAGTTTTTAGGGGCATAGACTGCAATGGCAAACAGGCACCGTTTGTCTCCGCGCGACTTCGTAGCATGGAACGAACCAGCCAATTTAACAGCGCACATCCGACTGTTGTCTGGAATCCAATCGATCAGGGCAGCTTCAGCGCCGGGACTCAAAACAATGCCGAGGTCAGCTTGACCGGCTGCATCATCGCCAGACAGGCGCAATGAGAATGTGCCGCCAGTGTCACAGGGTAACCACGGAGCTCGAATTTTGCAGGCGGGTTTCTGATGAACAGCAAGTGTCGATCGATAGGGTCTCTAGTGTGCGGCCAATCTGTAGCAAAGTGCGCACGTTGAGGCATGCCAGCCTTAGCGAGACTCGAGGACTCTAAAGGGAAACGGATGATCTGATGTTGTCCGCTTGGTTGAACATGAACTTGTTGTGTGGATTGGAGTGACGTCCTTGGACTGTGTGTGTGATTTGAAACTAGAAGACAAGCGACTACTGAGGCAAGGTGGGGAAAGGCAAAAAATTGGGGGATTGAAAATGGGAAGGATAAAAGTAAAGTTGGAGCGAGGATGAAAAAGCGTAAGAAGGGGATAAGAAGACGGGAAGGTCTGAGCAGTAGCATCCAAACCCCTATCCACCCTGCTCGATGCAGCAGATAGGGCGCTGTTGATTATCCTCTGCGACGGCCAGAGCATCAAGAAATTGTTAGAAGAAAAGTTAATTATATTGCGTGAGCAGAATACTGTCATGATGCCCAGGCCTAAACAGGGGAACGATTAGAGTTCCCAACCAAAGTCTTTGGTTCAAAAACCTGACCGCAAGGCAGCGGGTTTTGGCACTGGCATACAGAGAGCCCGTTGTATGGAGTAAGGAGCCACCCTCACTTCAACCCCAAACATGGAGAGCCAGGAGACTGAGTTTGTCCGGCCTCTAACCATTGACCAATCTGATATGAGTGGCTCTGAAGGTGCAAAAAGCACCTCCCAGCATAGCGCAATGGATCCTAGAGGCACAAAAACCATCGCACCACGTTAAGGTCCAGTCTCGTCACGATGGCGTGCGTTGTTCGCGCGCTAGAGGTATGGATGGAAGAAGAGGAATGAAGTCCATCACCTCGAAGTTGGCGTCGGTTGGTGTGTCCAGACTGCCCGAAGGACGATGAACACGTCTGGCTGGATATACTAGTTGACATGGCAAGGAGCCGACCTCAGTGGCGTTTGTGCTGTGAGTTTCTTTGTCTTTCCCCATCCCGCTTATCATCCCCCTCCAACCACGATCTCTCTCTTGACGCAGCATGTTACTAAGTAGTAGGTTGCCTGTTTTTCGCATCCTATAACTTTTAGCAGCTTGCTTTTTCGTATGTCTTATCTTTATGCGTTGCGGCATAACAGTTGAAGTGTGTTTCTCACCCACAGCTAATGCGTAATGATGATGATCCCATAGCCACTGGATTAGCCAAGGTTGTGGTTAATTATTCACCAATTGATGAGAGCCGACCGATGAAATCACACAAACTACCAAAACTTCCGAACGCCAGAAACAACCGTGTAGTAATCTGTTTATGCATACAATAAAAACAACGCTCGCAATATCAGCCTCCGTGACCACTGGAAATAAACTGCTAAAACGCAATTTGCGTTGAGCCAGAATTTCGTTATCATGCCCAATTGTCTGCTAGTGCTGATGATAACATAGCGTTAGTCAACATCGAAAGCATGAAGATGGGCTGTTAAAGCCAAGCTATCGTTTTTATGACAAGCTGTCCAAAACCAACCGTGTCGCTGCACGAAGAGTCGACAGCTCAGCTAGTGAATTGCAGTTTACAAGTGGTGGAGGTATTCGAACAACACAAACGGAGTTAACAACAGCTAGATGTAGCCAGAGAAAATGAGGCTCATCAGAAGGGCGCGTTGCCCTTGCCCAGTGATGGTGAGAAAGACAGGGCTAACTACAATGACTCGGATTATGCAAGCAAAATAAAACCCCTAGACCGAGATGGATGTTGGCAACCCACATAGGTTAGTAACTGGGGCGCAATGTGTAAACATGGAGAAGCATTACAAGCGGTCTAATACCAAGAACCACAGGGAGGAAGCAAGCACACTGCTTGCTCGCTTTGTCCGTATTCAGTACTCCGTATCCCTTTAACGAGATGCAACCGCTTCCTTAAATAACACGCGTTGCATCAGGTGCTGCAACAAATTCAGCAATGCGGGTCCGTCGTGTTTCAACACAGCAAGACACATCTTCATCTCTTGTTGTTGCAAACCGCGTAATATAGCCCAATGAATCTGTGAACGGTTGTTCTAGAGACGGTCAGTGAAGTTGTCAGATACGCATTATGTCAAGTAAAAGCATCCGAATACTACGGTAGTCAGCTGTATAAACGACTGATAGGTAGTGCATCCCCAATGCGGACTATGGGCGCAACCGCTCGCTAATGTGAAATGTAAGACAAGTTGTGAATAGTAATTTTCAATGGACAAGAACCTCGGGGAAGATGATACATAAGAATTTACATGAAAAGCAACCAAAGGCACAGTCTAGTAGTTATACAGGAAACAAAAAGGTAGAGAGAAAGTTCCCCACACAACTAGATCAAACTTCAAAGCCGGTTAAAAACCTCGTCCAACAGGATTGTGCTGAAATCGAGCGATGGTCTGTCCTGTTGAGCCAATATTACGCGACCATTGACCCACAGGTGGCACATAACGCTGTATTTCGCGACGAACTTTGTTCGGGGTCAAGGGCGTTCCTCCGATTTCCGTGCTTGTGGCGGGACGCTTATAGCCTGGCGATAACGCTCCAGTAGGCTGGGTCCAAGAGAGGGAAACTGAAGCCTTGAAAGTTGGTGGATTATGAAAGAAGTTGCGCACAAGTGTTTGAATGTTTGAAACCAGCTGCGAAGGAGAGGCAAAGGAAGAGGAGCAATCAACAAAGACGGCTGTAGCACCTAACATTAACTAAACCAATTAGTTTTAGCAGAAAGTAAAAGCACTCAAGCTAGAAATGGGAGCCAAACGGGGGAACCGAGGTGTACTGTGTTATGCAAAGAGTCTACAATGACAAGTGTCACAGTGGCGGTGCCAGTCAAAACATGCAGCTACACTTAGTTGCATACATGTGCAAATGTTTCACATGAAAGGGGATAGGTTGCCAGGTTATTATTGTCATTAACACAACACAGCTGAAGGCGAGAAATACACTTCAACTATTGTGCTCTAATACAAAATGTACGCATAAAGAGAGAAAATAAATTTTGAAAGACGCGAAAATTAAAAAAAACAAGAGCAAATAACGCCATGCTGTCATATTATCCACGCAGTGTGAGATCGTTGTTGTAGGGGGGAGCTAAGCGAGAAGTAGGGTGGAGCTAAGCGACAGGTAGAGGGACAAAGAAATGCACAAACGAACGCAATTAAGGATGGCTCTTTGCTATGTCAATAGGCGTATCCAATCAGGCGTGTACATCGTCCTTCGGACCCTAGCACCGAAGTAGGGAGACAGCAACTGACCAAAGCATAGCTTGGCCTCCCCTCCTCCTCTTCCATCCACACCACGGCCGCGAAAACAACGCACGATGAAGATGGTGTGCTGCCATGCGTAACACATAGTCTAGTAATCCCAGCATGGTACGTGATATGACGGTGCTGAGCGGTTCACTCGCTCTTCCTGCACCAAATACGCGGCGCCGAACACACTTATTGCTCACGCGGTGCTCCCGCCAGACATGAGCTAAGCTGTGAAGATAGCGATGGTCGTAAGTAACAAGCCTCTTTTAGTCGGTCGATCCGATAGGCCTGTTTCCCCAACCGCACAGATTTGGACGGACAGCTGGATTGTAAACACTGCCTTTCAGGGCGAGTGGCGGTGCGCTGACGCCATAGGTGGTGGAGATTGGTAAAAGCAACTCCAGCTTTCGCTATGAGGTTTGTGATCTCACTTTCGATCCTACGGAGATTAATAGGACTGCCTAAGTACTTAAATTTAGCGACGACTGCTAGCTGATCCACATCAAGGGTGAGCGCAGCAGTGGCTTGCTGGCAAGCTTGGAGGACTTCGCACTTCATAGGTGCAAAGCATAGCCCGAAACGAATGACAGCCAGTGCTAATTTTTCGAGTGCTGATTGGCACGTTTGGGAGCTGTCACATATGAGCGAAATGTCCTCGGCATACTCCAATTAAAGACGTCGAAAAACTGGGAGCAGCTCCACACCTTTTAAGTCGTGCCCGGAGAACGTCGTTCCCATTACTTGTCAATGACGAAATTAAAAAGAAAATGACAGCGGACAACCTTGAATCACACTGCTGGAGATACTGAAGAGGGGCCGCATTTTGCCACAAACCATCACTCGGCCCGAACTATGCGCGTACAGTGCTCTTATAATGTTTACAATTTATTGGGCACACTTTTCCTTAGCATATAGTCCAAAAGGACACATCGATCCACCGAATCGAAAACGGCTTTGATGTCGACTTTGATGGATCGCCAATAAATATGGCGGTGTGCCAACAGTCTACGGAAAGACGTGGTCAATACAGCCTATTCTTCAAGGAAACTCGGCTTGCTTCTTACGAAGCTGATTTTCACGAGTGCCAGTCAGTCTATGGAGCACGAGATAGGCAAGCAATTTAGAGGAAACTGAGATTGCCGCGTTCCTAACGTGAGCCTCCCTTGGAAACCGGGACTATAACGGGCGGTTCCAGTCTACTGCTCTCACAGCTTCCCCAGTAGGTTGTGCAATTCATTTACAAGAGCAGGTCCCATAAATTTGAAGACAACTAGAGGAACTCTATCTACTCCTACGGCCTCATTCAATTTCAACAGTCTGATATCACCTTCGAAGTAAGCGAGTGAGAGTGAGTCTAGGGCAAGGCTCAGATAGAGGAGCAATAAATGTTTGAAAAATGTGATAACAGGTTGAGTAAACTGGTTTGCAAAGCGTTCGGTTTCGCTCAAAAGATCTCTGTCGCAAAACCATGGATCCCAAAGAAGAGCAGTCAAAATGGACCTTCATATGAAACAAATAACAGTACGAATTGAGTGTTGCTCGCCAGAAAACAACATCCAATTTCTATCTGCTTCAACTACGGTCCTAGACCAAGGTTTACTCCAATGTGAATCGCGGTCGATATTGAGATTGCGTGCCGCAATCCATCCACAAGTGCATTACAAAATGACCCTCGAAATCAAACAGTACGATGTGTTTACTTATCCCCAATATTTCTACACAGGTAGACAGTCTCTAGGTGACTGGCTGCTTAACATTTCACTACATTCCATACCGTTCACCATCACCAGATAAGCGGTCGGTTGATAGCTAAAATAATCATTACAAGTGCCCGTCGTGTCTGTGGCAACTTGTTTGTTTCACCGCCGCTCATTTGAAATTTTGCTCCCTACTCACATGCAAATCTTGAGAAAGAAATTACCATCTAATGGTAGTCGTACACGCGCGCTTCATGAGGAAATCAGCACCGATTAGGTTGCCGCGACAAATAACACCGCATCCGTCACAATAAACGTTAATACTATTATTCCCTGTAATACAAAAGGCAACAACGAACGCCTGATTTACAAGGTAGGATAAATAAGCTTGAAAGATACGTGAGAGATTTGAGAGAGAATGACTGGCTGTTGTAGGGCCGCTGGTTTGTAGTACGGAACTACTTTTCCACTTAAGCAACTTACCAACCAATCCGTCAACCGGCCAACTGCGTAACGTGATTTCCGCCGGAGGGATCGAATAGATCATCCGGACCAGTAACATAGTAGTGTGTAATGTTCCAGATAGGCAACCTATTAGAGGTGTATGAAGCATACGCTCCTAAACGCTGCTGGGTTTATCTTAGGCCTAAAAAGGAACACGAAGCATACACACCCAGTGCTACTTAAATCCAGAATGGTCGGTTATAAGAGCGACAAGTGAACTTAAGAGTGCCGTCATGTCAGATAAAACGCCGCTTTGACGAATGTAAGCGCTTGTCCAAAAGAAACAGAGTGGAGCAGCCGACCCTTCGCAGACCGCCTTACAGACCACATGTGATGGCCATGTCTACGCAACTGCTCATTGTATAACAGCTAGATAACTCCGTGGGTACTGTTGATTTCATCCCAGTGCAACCAACTCTTAGCAACAATGCCGCCCCTATCCAGGCATGTAGTACCATCAAAAATAACATTACCTCAACGAACTTAGTGCTAACTCCGATACTGCATACAAATGTACAGAGACGACACTTAAGTTCTCCGCTTAGCGTCAACCTAGACCATAAGATTAGCATCACCGCCACACATGATTCAACCTGGAAGCTGATGAATAGAAAGATAGTTCGCAGCTCGGGTAACAGATTCTGCAGTTTCCCCAACAACAGCAAAGATACTCTGACCAATTCGCCCGCATAAAGGAAGGAGCACAGTCAGAACGCTTAACATTTCCGATAATTTTCTAGTAGAAGCGGTAAGAAGTCTTACTGAGTTCTCCAATATGAATGGGAGATTATCAACAGCCATCAAGCACACACAAAGACGAACCAATTATCTCTGCCCTTCGAGGCGATTTCTTTCTAAACCATTTGTGGTAAATGCCTTGCTTAAATAATGCGCTCGTCATCGCCGACTGACACAGTAGAAGGACATAATAGACATCTATCCCCTTTTGTACAATAAGTAAGCCACGTATATAAGCTACAATACCCCGCACTACAAAACCCGAGAGCGAAGGACACAACTCGTGTCCCAAACGACGTTAAAACGTTGTCTCAAGTTCCTTTCTCAGGTTTATCGGTAGCCAGGCGGTCGAAAACTCCAATCAATCAGCGCACCTCGTGGTTATTCCAACAGATCATCAATTTAGCCCAAACAAGCTTGAACCCAGCAACCTGCACTCAGACTGCATCTAAGCAAATCCCCCCCACTACAAGGGATGGTGTCCACTGTCCAACCGTACACCAACAGTCAGTAAATCAATCTACGGACATGGGACATGTTAGAGTATCTCTCTAAAATGCTCGATCTATCAACAATAAAATGCATTTCTTACATTCTCTACTATTTCACTTCTACCCCGATATCATAGTTGTCAAGGAAGCTTGGCGAATAGAACATCATTCTGACACACCCTGTTACATCTCAAACGACCGAAGCTGTAGTCACATTTCCCGCCGTGGTGGCGGCTGATGCATATACATGGAAAATAAACATCACGAAACGTCTGTGGGTGACCTATTTCTAGACAACCGTGATGACTCTTTCTGGATTAACATTCGTATAAAGTACAAGATCATCCTTATTGGTTGTATGCACAACTCATCACGCTCGTAAATCGGATGTCAATAAGTTAGCGGAATTCTTCTCATATACATTTGAGTAGCTTGTAATCCAAAGAATAACGGGTGGCTTTTAATATGCTCGAGATTTCCTGGTGTCTGCCATGCTCCTCACTCAAGTATCTGCATTCTGCATCCACAATACATACATTTGGTTGGATGCAACAAACTTTATCTCAGACAAGAGGTGGGCACTTATTATGCCTAATCCGTACAAGGGACATAAGCCTCCCAAATTCTCCTGGAAGTAAGCACAAGATGGCAGAGATCTGCTTTAAAAGGATCGCCTACAACCACGACGCAGTCAACGAGCCTATAAGTCTTCGTGACTATCACAATACGAACTGCAAGGACTCTGAAATCAAACTGTGATGAGTATTATACTTCCTCTGAACTAAAAGATGCAGTAGACGTACTTTACAAAAACATGACCTCCTGTCTAGATGTCTATTCCTCGATGCGTCATAGGCATGCTACCCACAAAGTAATTAAGAACTCTATTCCATCGCATATAACACGAGAGCTGAAGAAGCTACGATATAGATTTATAAAGACTAACAACTTTAACGTG